GAAATGTATATAACTTCTGGGTCAGGGAGGATAATCTATTATTAACAATAGAATGATCATTATTGTAATAATTATTGTAATAACTATGTAGTCTAGGTAGCATGCCCAGCACAGTACCTGACATATATAAAGTTTGCAAAATGACAGTGATTATAAATGAATATGATCATGCTGAAACATTAAAGGGAGGAGATGCTTTTGGATCACATTTAAAGCCAGAAATGCAAATGATTTTATTTAGAGCATTAAACCCATTCTTAAACCAACTTCAGTTGCATTAAATAAAATGTGAGGTGCTGTTTCCCCTTATGTACATCTACCCATCACTTCCTAAATATTTAGAGCAAGAGAGATTTTCATTTGCTCCAAAGAGGCATGTGGTAAAATACTAAAATGGAAAGGAAGGCTGTACAATCTCTATAGAGTGCTTTTGGAAAAGTGTTTTGAAGATTTTAGATGTCTTTGCCAAGAGTATATTCCCTGTCCCCTATACCCTGGGTGCACATGCCCTAATGTCCCCTGGGGAAATCCCTGTTGAGGGTCTCTATGTGCTTTGGTTCAGCTGCCTTAACTGAGAGGAAATGCAAACTCAGCTTGAATGCCCCTGGGGATCCTGGCTCAGGCCTGCAGCTAGCTCCCAACCCTCACTTTCTCCCTGCTTCCTGCTCCTGCCCCTTGCTCCAGGAAGCCCTAGCAATCCTGAGTGTTTGCTGGCTTTCCGCTCCTGCAAGGGTTCCGTCCACGCCCACAGCTCAGAGAAGCCCTGATCTGTGTACACAAACCCTTCCCTAGCTGGTGCCACTTTCCTTGGAAAACCATTCACTAGTCCATAAAAGGGCCCCCCGAGCAGCACTTCAAACAAGCATGGACTCAGAGTCAAATCAGGGATTTAGAATCAGGATCCTTAATTCAGGTCAGCCTTCCTTCTCTTTCCTATGCTGGTGCCTCCCGCTCTCTGAGAGTTTCCCAGGGCTCCCCCCTCCTGCCGCACCCAGCAGGCTACCAGGGCTGGGCGAGGGTCTAGAGTTCCTATGTCTCCACTGTAGAAAGCCAAGTGCAGATGGCTCAGCTTTATTTTCATTCCTTGCACAAGTGCTTACTGAGCACATGCTAAGTGCCAGGGACTGTTCCAGATACTGGAGGTCAGCAGAGAACAAGACAGTAAATCCTTGCCCTTGAGGACTTTAGATTCTGAAAGAAGACAAACAATGAACAGGTGCATCAGGGCAATGTCAGGTAGTCATAAGTGCCCAGGTCTGGGATGCATGAAGGACAGGAGGTGCTACAGAGGGCTCCTCGGTGGAGGTGACATGAGCAGACATCTGGGCAAAGGGAGGGAGGGAGTCATGGGAATGAGAGGGTCAGGATTCCAGGCAGAGGGCACAGCCGAGCCCTGACATGGACTGAGCTTGGCATGTTTGAGAAACACTGAGGAGGTCCCATTTTTTTCTATGTCATCCTATAAAGAGCACTTCTTTTTACTTGTGAAAGAATATGCAAAACATGCTTTACCATTTAAACCACTTGTAAGTATACAATTCACTGGCAGCTCTTTCTTTAATCTTCCTAAACTGAAACTTGGCACTCATTCAATGGTAACTCCTCATTCCCCTCCCGGGGCACTGGCAAACCCCATTCCACTTTCTATGTGACGAACATTCAACATGCTGTCTCATTTCATCCTCAAAACTCCTGCAGGCCATAGGCTTTGCTATTATCCCATTCTACAGAGACCGAGGGACTAATCTTAGATCACACAGCTAGCAAGCAGGGGAAAAAGGCCTCAAGTTGCAGCTTTTTCTGACTCAGGCTTCTGTTCTTCTTCACCTCTCTGGTAGGGTAAAGGAGGCTGTTTTGCTGAGGGTTTAGTGTGGATTACAGACAATGCCAGAAGCTTTTAGCATTGAGACAGGATGGGGTTTGTTGTGCCAGACTAGTGCTATCTGAGTAGAAGGAAGGAGCTGCTGCCCAGAGACATGAGCTGGGGGGTGGAGGGGAAGGCAGGTGATTGACACCTGTCTGTGCCACTCCTTTTCCACCTCTGCCTTGATACTCAGCTTCTCTGAGTGCATAAGCATGGTGTACCTTGGTGCTCGGTATCCAGATAGCCAAGCAATGCTGGCACCGCTTATTATTAGTAAAAAGCACAGCATGAGGTGCTGCCAAAAGAATCACCCAGGAGCTACTCATGACCTTGACACGATGATGCAGCTGCTACCAGAAGAAAAAACAAAGCAAAAGTATGTTAAGGTGGGACTAGGAAAGTAGACTTACTGCAGGAAGAACAGTACCTAGTTCCCACCCAGGGCCAGAGTAAGTGCATTTGTGAGGATGGAGTGTGTGTTGAGGAGAGACTGGCTCTATCTGTTGCAGCTGACAATCTGCCCTGTTCCAATATCCAGGTTGTTGGAAGAGCTATCAGGTTCCTGGCTTGGTGGTCTGGGCCAGGGGGTGTTGAGTTCCACTCCCTGTCCTACTCTGGATAGCTGGCAAGTTGCCTTACCCCTTGGAGGCTCTTTTGTCCCTTACAAACATAATCATACTGACTTCTCAAGGTTGTTGAGAGGATCAAAAGACACAAGGTGCATCAGATGCCTAATCAATGTCTAACACATATACAGCAGGCGCCCATAAATGTCCACTCCTTACCTGGGTGAAGCAGGAGCTTGTACACAGCATCCAGGAGTCCAGTCTCTTCCCTCTTCTCATGATCTGCACCATTTCCAATCTTCTGGCTCCTCCCTAATCACCAGGTTCTGCTCTGGATTTGGGGACCCTAGTGTCTTGGTTTGATGTTTAGACTTGGTATTAAGAGGCCATATGTAGCATATTTGAATTTTGGGGAGCAATCTGGAAACTATCCCTCTTACCTATTTGGGGGTAACTACCTTGCCTTTAGCTATATTTTCCAGCAGGACAGTGCCTGTACCTCACCTCCCACTGTGGGGGCAGGAAGGGTCGGGTTCTATCCAGTACTCAGAATCTGGAGTGAAGGATAATGTTGGAAAGAGGGTCAGAATCATTTTAGGGCAGCGATACTCAGCCCCACTTCCTAACCTGTGTCTTCCATTTCCTGATGATTCTGTGGGCACCCCATGCTCTGCCCATAAGTCCCCTGTTCATGTGGGCAATAGTTCCTGTTGTTTACAAATAAGAAAACTGAGTATCTCACAAGATCTCAAATTAATCCAGAGAGGCTTCAAGGGGACTGGGATGGTGGGAGTTGCTAGAACATGGGAGACAGTTGGTTAGGAAAGGGCACCTGGCACAACCTTTCTGCAACCCTGTTCTGCTGGCAGCTGGGCAGCGGGTTGTTTTGTTGGGGCATGAATGCTGTCAGCTCCAGGCAGCAACTGAGCGATTATTCACTTGTTTATATAATTTGTTTTTTAGTTGTACACATCGTTTCTACTTGTGTTATAAACTCCTTGGGGCTAAAGCTTCCTTTTATATCTCTTGTACAGTGTTGGAGCCCCAGACATGGAAGAGGCCACGAAAGATCTTGTGGTTTGGCTTCATCCCTTAACACCATGGAATGTCTAACCACCCAAGACAACTAGAAACAGCTCATCTCAGAGAATCTCCTAGAAACGTAGACGCTGACTGTCCCCAGTCACCCTTTCCAATGTTTGCTGTTTTACAGTAAACCCATTTTCCTTACACAGAAGTCAGGCTCAGTAGTTTTCTCATGAAAACCCTTCAGCCTTCTCTTGCCTGAGCACCAGTAATGGGGAAACCCAGCTGCCCACAGGACCAGGCAAATAGGGTGTGAATGAATGTGCTTATGTTGTTTGGGTAGTGAGGATGGCCGGGGACTGGAGAGCAAGCCTGGGACAGCAGTAGCTCTTCTCTTACTCCCTGCAGAATGTGGACTGAGTTTTGGGAGATTTGATAAATTTTTTCAGAGAACCTGGAAACCTAGAATTCTAAGTGGAATTCTTGATTTTAAAAAATGTTGGCAATGAATTTGAGTTTTAAAAAACATGAGTCAAAGAAATACTTTCAAGGGCTGGGTGTGGCCCGGAGGCTACAGATTTGCAGATGCTGCAAGAAGCTGCCTGGGAACTAATCTGCATTCTTGGTACTTGTCACTGGTGACCTAAGACCTGAACACTAGGAACTTGCCCATGCTTTTAGTCAGCCTACTCTGGCTCTGCCTTGTCCTTAGGAAGGTCAGGGATACTGCCATCTGGAGCCCATGTCTTCTCCTAGGTCAAGCCTCTGGCACCCTGGACTCTGGGAATCCCTGGCCAAACAGCACTCACCTGGCTTCCAGGGCCTCTGGAGAGTTCCAACCTTCCAAGCACAACCTGTACCACCTGCTGTCAACATCTTTAGGCCTGAAGGATGGCCAAGGGATGATTGTTAGCCAGAACCCAGCTGTGTCCCTATGAAGGAAGTGGTCCCCCATTGCAGTGAGGTGTAGTGTGGGATCAGGGACAAGACTGAGAGCTGGAGTCCTGGCTTGGGGAAGGTCTTCTTGCCACTGTCCTGCCTGTATCAGGCTACTGATTCATTATCTCCCCTGGACCAGGCACTCTTCAATGCACCCAGCGCTTTGTGTCATTGACCCCGATACCAACCCAGATACTTACAAGCAAAGGAACTAATCAAAGCATAGAAAAATAAGTTGCCCACAGCTAGTGAGTGAGTGGTTCAATCAGTTTGCAGACAGTAAAAAGCCTCAATCAGTGACCAGTCGCACTGTGGAAACGGTGGATGCTCCCCAACCTCCTCTGGATGGCCAGCCAGGACTGGGTGGGCGCGGGAGGCAGGGACCCTCCCTCCATCTGCCCCCGGCCTCCTCGGGGGCACGAGGAACTTTCGTGGGATCGCTAGTGTCTGCCTCCTAGCTGCCCCGGGTCCCGCCACCCCAACCCCCGGGCCGCCTGGGGGCCTGGCGGGGACGGCGGCGCCTGGCAGCGGGGGATTTGGATGCGCCGCCGGGGGGAGGGCATCTGGGTCCCTCCGCCGCCCGCGGCTTCCTGGCATGCCCTGCTGCAGGGCCTCCCCGGGCCGGCGCCCGGACTTCGCCATCGGCGGGGCGCGGGAGGCACCGGGCGCGCCGGGAGCCGCAGCCGCAGCCGCAGCTGCAGGTGGGTGAGCGCTCGTGCCGGGGCTCCCTCGGGGGCGGGCAGCCGGAGGATCCCGTGGGGAGCCCACCCGGGGTGGGGAGGGTCCAGGGGGCGCGGTGGGGGCGCGGGCAGCTGCGGCCGGGGGGAGGGGCGCCGCCTCTTTGTTCCTGTCCCGCGGGGCGCACAAGTTGGGCCAGAAAGTTGGAACTGCGCGCTCGATTGCGGTCCGACCCCCGCGCCGCGCGCTCCATGCCCGTCTGGGTCCCAACTCTGGGGTGTTGGAGTGGGAGCTGGGGTGGGGGGGGGGGGTGGCCCGGCAGGGGAAAGAGAGGGTCTTGGGGCTGCTTAACCTCCTGGACTTAGACCACGAAGAGGGGGAAGCGGGGCTGGCGGGAAACTTGCAGAAATCGAGAATACACCGAGAAAGAAAAGCGCACAAAGAAACGCCCGCACAAACCAATCAGAGAGAGACAGGGACAGCCCAGGAACTCAGACACACTCGGAGGAACAAACTCCAGACACACAGAAAGAGAGGAAACCCAGAAGCTCTTGGAGGCATGGGGGCAGGGGCGAGAAAAGGAAAGAAACCCTGATCAGGGGAGAGGCTGAAGGGAAAAGAGTGGGTGGAGAGGAAAACAGACGCGCAGAGATAGAGACGGAGATGGGGGGACGGGGTAAGAAGAGCTCATGGCCGTGGGGTGGACACTACACAGAACCATATACCTGGAAAAGCTGCGCAGACGCTGAGATGTACCCCTTCCTCCCACAACCAGAGAAAAAGAGATGAAAGAGACATCTCTGAGAGAGCAGCGGTGGTGGAGAAGGCCTCCTTCGCATTTTAGGCCAGCTAAGGTCCCACCTTGTCCCCCCGCCAACTCCTACACATCCTTCAAAATCCAGCTCAAGCATCACTTGTCCCTGTGAAGAAGGCTTTCTCAGAAAATGTTCTGCATATGCAGTTACTCTCTTTTCTAGGTGCTTCTGCCCCTAGCCCAGGCACATGGAGTTGAAATGGTTTTTCTAACTTTCTCACCTTTCCCACCAGCTCCTTAAGACTAGCCTCGCTCTCTCTGTTTTAATCTCCAATCTTCAGACTCCAGTCCAGAGCTTGGTGCATTATAGATGATCAGTATATGCTTACTGAATGTCAACCAAGAGCATTTGGATCCTCTAAGACATAATGCATAGATAAGTGCAGATAGAAGAGATGCCGCATCCTGGGGTCACAGAGACCCCCGTGTCACAGCACCCCTTTTTGCAGATGGATACATGAAATGAGTACTTCCACGAGATGCCCTTGCTCCTTTGACCTAGGAGTTAAAAAGACAGCCATGCCCTTTGTACGACATTTCACTAAATGATGAATTCCTATGCACAGAGGTGGTTCTGTAAGATCATACCATAGCTGTGGTGTTTGCACAATGACAAAAATCTCAGAACACATCCCTCTTGCCAAGCCATGCATAACTGTAGAGGTGAAAGAGCCTCCTGAGGGAAAACAGGCAATAGGCAGTGGATGCTTTTAAACCATTTGTAAGTTTCCAGCACTGAAAATGATGATCAGAACCCTTTTCAGAGTTTCTACAGTCTTCTTTCCTCCTGAGAAAGAGGAAGTCCACTTCCCTTTCTGCTTTCTGACTATGTAAATGTGGACAAATTCCCTGAACCCCAGTTTCCCCAATTATAAAATAGGAACACCAATGTCTAGCTCATAGCGTTGTTAGATGAGTTAACACACAAAGTGCCTGGCACAGAGGAGATCCTCAGTAAACACCTCTCACCTCTCCCCTGCTTTCTCATGCACATTTTTTAAAATATATATGAAAAATTAATGGCTAATTGTTTCCTTTTGTCTCAGATTTAAAAACCCATCCTAGCTAGGCACAGCGGTGCATGCCTGTAATGCCTGTAATCCCAGCAACTTGGGAGGTCAAGGCAGGAGGATCACAAGTTTGGAAGCCAGCCTCAGCAACTCAGTGAGATCCTGTTTCAAAATAAAAATTAAAAACAACAAGGGATGTAGTTCAGTGGCCCTGGGATCAGTCCTCAGTACCAAAACAAACAATCCTTCTTGGTTCACTCAGGAGGCAAACTCTTAATAAAGGGAAAGGTGAATCTGAGCAAGTAATGCACTTTGGGTTTCTTTAGTCCCTCAGATCTGTGCAGATGGGTTGGAGGAATCTCACTCTACCCCCTTCCCATTTGCCACTTCCGACAGGTGAGACTCAGCAGCCCTCTTCTCTTTCTGGCTTCTTCACTAGGTCTGCCCTGACCTGGCGTTCTCTCAGGCATTAGCCTTTGTGGAGATGTGAGCGGGACTGAGTCAGGAACTACCAGGAAGCATGGAGACGGTGGTGATTGTTGCCATAGGGGTGCTGGCCACCATCTTTCTGGCTTCGTTTGCAGCCTTGGTGGTGGTGTGCAGGCAGCGTTACTGCCGGCCCCGAGATCTGCTGCAGCGGTATGATTCCAAGTGAGTGGCTCATGGGGTGGGAGGTGGAGGAGGAGAGGTGGGCTCCCCCAAAGGAAGAAGAGAGGAATAGAAATAGCTTGGTGCTGGGCTACTCTGGCTCAGTGTTTGCTCTCTGAAATGGTACCCACACGCTGTCCTGCCCAATAAAGACCTCAGAGCTTAAGAATATTCCTTAAGCCCTCAGCATCCTGAGCCACATCTTTCTCTGTTCACTGAGCCATTGAAAAAGTCACTGAACATGTTCACCTAGCATAAAGGCAAAGCCATCTGTACAAAGCTGGTCATCTCAGCAGTGGGACAAATCAAATCCCTCTCCAACCAGACCCCTGGGAACAAAGATCACATGCCCACACTCAGCCACACAGCTAAGTAACAGATGCTTCCTACCGTGAAATCCCAGCCCAGGCCTGTTTCTCTCTTTGCATTTTGGATTTCATCGTGATACATTTTGTGTAAAATGGATTTTTGTAAGGAAGATCCAACTTTCAGTTTAGGGATGTTTTAATTGATAGGTCCTTAAGGGACTGTGGCAACTAACCCTTAGTTTCTGTTCCACCTTTATCTTATTTCTATCAGCTTCTCTGTTGAGTGGTTACATAATTTTTAAGTGCCCATTTTCATGGCCTAGGAAAGCTCTGCTGTTGCAAAGAATGCTGTGGTGGCTTGGGTTTTCAAGATCCCGTTATAAAGGAGGAGGTGTTTCTCCTTCTCTCACTTCTCCAGAATGACTAACTTGGAGAGAGTGGAGTTTGGGGGTGGGATAAGGAGGTCCCCCAGAATGATTCTGCAGACATAGTAGGGGGTGCAGGTGGGCTTGGGTAATAGGGACTCCTGCCTGTCTGTGACGTATAGGATTGAAGGGATGATGAGCAATGAAAGGATATTATTTTGTCCTGAAGGAGTAGCCCTAATACATTTTTGTAATCATAGAATTATAGCTCTATTCTTTTTCTCAGTAGCTCATCTCATTCTGTCCACTAGTATTTTTTGTGTCTCTGCCTGACTCCCTAACTCATCATTTAGCCAGATGCTCTGTCCTCAGCTGTGTTTCCTTTAGGGTTAGGTTTGGATCTAGGATAACAGGATGCTGCTCTAAGTTATCCCCTTTATCCTTTGGGTGGGTATGTGGGTGTATCAGTCAGTTTTCCATCACTGTAACAAAATAACTGAGATATTTAACTTATAAAGAGAAAAGGGTTATTTTGGCTCACAAGTTTAGAGGTTCTAGTCCGTAATGGGGTGGACTCATTACTTTTCAGACCTCTGTGAGGCTGGCCGGATGACAATGGTAGGGAGTGTGTGGTGGAGCCAACTGCTCACCTCATGGCCATGACCGTAACGGGGCCTTCCCTTCCAGGCCCATCGTGGACCTCATCGGAGCCATGGAGACCCAGTCGGAGCCCTCAGAGTTAGAGCTGGATGATGTCGTCATCACCAACCCCCACATCGAGGCCATTCTGGAGAATGAAGACTGGATTGAAGATGCCTCGTAAGGCCCGGGACCTTTGCTTCTGGCTACCCTTGCCCTGCCCTTGACATCGGGAGAAATCAGAATAGGGCATCTGTCCTTGCTCTCTCCTCCCGTTTGGTAAACCTGAACACTCAGGCTCTCAGATGTGTGGCACAGATTGTTATAAGTCACCCCCAGGTGCTCGGGTTATATTGGGGTGCCAGGAATTTGACAGTCAGGCTCCAGGGAAGAAGCGTTGGTCCCCAGTATCCCTCAGGCACTCTCTGTCCAGCAGGAGCCTTTGAGGTTTCTTTCCTTATCCCTTTGGTCATCCTTTCCCTGGGCATGTGGTCATGGGGCATTATGTGTAGGGCCCCGGGTTGGTCCTGCAGGTATTCAAATAGCAGGGAGATGGAACCGTCCTGAATACGGTATCGTAGAAACTGAAGGTCATCTCTGCAGGTGGTGCAGTGGGCACGCAGAGGAGGCAGTGTCTAGGTTTGCCTGCAGTGGGGAGGCCCAGGTGGCTTTCATGAAGGATGCCACAGAAGGGAGCCTTTTGACTTGGGAGTGAAGGATGGGAAGGAGCTCACCAGGATAAGCCTAAGGGGAAGGTCTTGTTGGACGGAGGGAAGAGTCCACCCGAGGGCAGAGTTAGAAAAGCATGCCTTGATAGACGGTCTGTAGAGCCAGCGGGAGGACCAGGTGGTGGGGGAGTGGGAGGGAAGGGAAGGGCTAGGGGCTTGTCTGTTTTAACACTGAAGCATCTGCTCTGAGGTAGTGTACCCTGTGCCCACTGGTCAGTGCTGGGCGAGGGACAGAGGTGGTAGCTGGAGGGGAGGTGGGCTCTCTACATAAGCCATGACACCTTCTTCTTGTCTCTCCAGGGGTCTCATGTCCCACTGCATTGCCATCCTGAAGGTAATACTCCCATTTCCCTGTGACGTCAGGGAGTCCCCAGTGCACCCCAGGCACAGACAGTTGGAAAGGACCTCAGCACGTGCCCTGAACCTCTGCCAGGGTCCTTCCTTTACACTTGGCATTTCCACTCTTGCCTGTTCAGTCTCTTTTGCTTTAAGGATTCTCAAGGCCCTTTGAAGGCTTTATTTCATCTGGTCCTCTTCACACAGTGGGAAAGACAGCCTAGGCGGGCAGGAGCCACGCTTTTAACAACCTAGGGGAAAGTCATGCACCCGAGTCCACACGGCTGCCGAGGAGAAGCGGGTTATGGCCTCTCTCTGAGCACACACTTTTGTTAACAGAGAGCTCCAGCCTATACGGCCCGTGCCATTCTGAATGTGGACTTTGGTGATTAGAAAGTCTTCACTAACTGAATTTGGCTGTGACAGTAGTCCGTCAAATGGACAATCAGTGTTTAAAAATCCACATAATGCCAGGAGCGGCATTGCACACCTGTAATCCCAGTGGCTAGGAGGCTGAGGCAGGAGGATTGCAAGTTCAAAGCCAGCCTCAGCAACTTAGTGGAGCCCTTTCTCAAAATGGGCTGGGGATGTGGCTCAGTGGTTAAGCACCCCTGAGGTCAATCAAAGACCTCAAAGGGGGGAAAAATCTGTGAGTTCTTCAATCTGTAGGAAGAATTTTTTTTTCTTTCTTTTTGTTCTTGTGGTGCCAGGAATGGAACCCAAGGACTCATTCTTGCAAGGGAAGCCCTCTATCACTGAGCTGTATAGCTCAGCCTGACTTTTTCCTTTGAATGTCTAAATCCTTTGGAAGATTGTATCCAATTTTTCATGGTAAATTTTAGAGTTCCAGCATTTTTTCCCCCCAATTCTTGTCTGATACCATCCTACCTAATATCATCATAATACTCCTCCAATATTTGGCCAATTACAAATGTGAGTTCCTTCACTTCAGTAACCCTCTCTCTTTGTCTCTTTGCCTAGTTATTATTTGAAATTTCAAAAGAGATCATTTTGTCTTTTCTCCAGTGTCATTCAATATAAGATATCAAGAAGTCCTTTATCCCACCTCATGCAAATGATACACTTTCGCTATCTCTTTTGGAACAAAGAAAGCCTAGCAGGAAATGGTTGCCTCAGAGCCTGGGCTTATTATGTAATTCTGGGAAGCTCTTTGGGTGTATAAAATATGACTTTAGCTAGAGACAGAATTGTAGATATGGATAGCCAGGTATAATGACGGGAGCAATGAAGCCATATCACGTTTTCCTTGTCCCAACTCGTGCCCTGGCTCGTGCGCGAGCCCGCACCTGTCAGAGGAGGAGGATAAATGGCACCTGTGGTGGGAGATGAATTAGCTGGAAGGAGCCTTATTAGATTGGTATAAGGGAGGACCCCAGATCTAAGGAAAGGGCTTCTAGTCCGCCTCTTGGGATCTCAAGTGCCTTTGCTTAGTCACCTGCCTTTGAATCCCTGTGGCTGGAATTCGAGGGAGGGGACTGGGCTCCTTTCCCACTGGGTCCTTGGGCTTCTTTTTCTCCTTATTTTCCAGTCTGGAGTCCAAGGCAGGCAACGGAACTTCTTTGCAGGGATAGAGGCTGATCCAGCCCTCACCTCGGGGAGGCGTGGAGGGAACTGAGCTTTGGGGGGGGCGGTGGCTGGCACTGAGGGCAGATGATGAAAACATCTTGTGTCATGGATTTGCCTTTCCCCTGCTTCTTCTGTCATCATCTCAACAAACCTGCAAATGATACAACACCCTCGAAAACTGTCGAATCCTGCGCCCTTATTGGAGAATGTGCTTAGAGGGAACAATCGCCCTCTGTCCAGCCCTGTTTGTGTGGGCGCTTCGCCGGAGCTATTACCCTTTTGGAAGACTAAAGCATGAGGTGGAGGCATAGACAGAGAAAGCAGGCTTTTCCCCCTAGAGAAGGTGAAATCAGAGCACATGATTTTTATTAGAGGGATTATTTCAGCTTAGACTCCTCTGAGCTGAAGCACCCCCTTGCTCCGAGGTTCCCCACCACCCATCTCCTCTGCCCTCTGTGAGCTGCTCACTTAAACTCACTAGGGGAGGGGTTCAGCTGTGTGGTGGCACCCGGGTGGGGGGGTGTGCAGTCTGCAGAATCCCACGTGGGAGGCAACCAGCAGACTGCAGTCAACAACAACAAAAAAAGTCCTCGGAGGGGACCAGCCGCTCCTCGTCACTTCTGTCCTCCCTGCCACATTAGATTTGTCACACTCTGACGGAAAAACTCGTTGCCATGACTATGGGCTCTGGGGCCAAGATGAAGACTTCTGCCAGTGTCAGCGACATCATCGTGGTGGCCAAGCGGATCAGCCCCAGGTGAGTGATCGGTGGCCTTGAAGTCTCCGTACTTCATGAGAGAAGCCCAGGGAGACCGCAGGGTTGGGCTCCGATAAGAAGCAGTAGGTGGGCAACTTCTGTTATCTGCATCCCAATATTTCCCTGGCAGCCAGGAGGGTTTAGAAAGAGGGACTCCCAGGTCAAGATGGTCACCTGTGATCGCCATCCCCAGCATGCCTGGCTGCTGCCAGCCCTATTCAGCAGCCCAGTGAGATGGGTCTCCACAGCCTGTTCTGCAGCTCTGTGGTGGCTGCTCCGGCTCCTTCTCTTGCTACTCCACCCTCCCAGGTGCTGCTGAAGCCAGCAAGTGCATTTCCCAGTGGTGCCCACACCTCTGTCTCCAGTGACCTCCTGGCCATGCCCTGTGTCCAGCCTGGGTCTGTCCTGGGGACCCCTTCCTTGTTGCCACAGTGGACCTCACTGCCCGCATGCACAGCCCAGCCAACAACCTCCAGGATGGGGTGGGCGGGTGAACCACAGCATTCAGACCTCCCAGATTCCAGGCAGTCTGCAGAATCCCACGTGGGAGGCAACCAGCAGACTGCAGTCAACAACGACTCCCCCTCATTTGGGTTCTCTTTTGCAAAGAGAAAAGTCCTTTTCTTAGAGCAAAGGGCTGTACTAAGTTTGTGTCGCCATCTGGTGGCTGGTATGTGGACGTGCCTCATCCCAGCAATGACCCAACTCAGTTGTCAGTTGGCCATTCCCTGAGTTCCAGAGACCTTGCTTTCTTTGTTGCCAAGGCCTCTGCTAAATCACCAGGAACCAGCCCTTTACCATCCTCAAAATTAACCGAGTGAGAAGCTAGGGGCAGCGGCTGGGAGAGGGTGCGCTCGGCACCCGCTTGTAATGCGAACTTTACTTTAATTCCAGCTTGATCAAAAGTTCAAGGCCAACCTGTTTGCAAGTTCAAAAACTGGGATACCCTGCCTCAAAAACAAACAAGACAAAACAAAACAAAAAACCCCAACAAATAAAAACTACCCAGCTGCTGCGCCCTGTGGGCGGACACCCTATGAGGTCTTCCGAGGGACGCTTGACTTGGTGTATTTTACACTCAGTCCAAGGAGTCAGTGAGTTGAGAAAGAAGGAAGGAAGGAATCCAGGGAGGGACTCAGGTCAGAAAGCTCTGGACTTTCTCTGGACTTGCCTTGGTGGGAGTAGCCACGTGTATGAGCCTTGGCCAGCCATGGCCTTAAAACTCTCACTTGGGTTCTGAGAAAGTGCCCGACGGACATTCTTACTGGTCACCCATTATTTTTAGGGACTGCATTGCTCATATCTGCTGAACCCTTCCTCGTATTTTATGCCACTTCGAGGGCTTGATGGTCCCTGTGACAGAGGTTATAAGGCAGCCTTTTAGGAGGGGCTAGGAGGGGAAGGACATGGGGATTTCCAAGGGTGAGTGGATTAGCCATAGACCAAAGTGAGGGTGCAGCGTGGCCAGGAGGATGGCACCCACCCACCCTGTGCCCAGGGCCCATGCTTTGTCTTTTTGCCATCACACTTCTTCTGGCTGATTTTCTTCCCCATTGTCTTTCCTGCTCCTTTTATTCCAGGGTGTTTGGATGGTGAATGATTTAAAAGAGATCAGCTTCTGTTCTGGGCATCACAAGGGAAGGGGCTGAGACAGGCCTGAGGCTGCCTCTGTGCTTCCTCCCCTCCCCTCAGCCCCCAGTGAGAATGAGGGTGTCTTTTTTCAAGTGCTTTTAGAAATCAATATGTCTATTTTTCCTACCTGACTATCAAGCGGTCCATGAGCAAAGATTTGGAGCAAAACCTTGCACCCCACAAATCAGAACCTGATTTTAAAAACTTAGCCATGGATTGAAGCACGTGGTAAAAGAAAAGCAATGGAGCGGTTTGAACTCAAATTAAACTAGTGACTTTGTTTTTTAGTGTTCTGTGTGCCTTAAGCCACATCTCCCACACTCTGCCCCAAACACAAAAGTAGTAAGTGCCTGTGAAAGTTAAAATACTGCAAACTCAGATGATCTGGGAAGTGGAGTGCTCCCTAATTCTACTTCTTCCCGGTGTAAGGAGACAGGAGAATGCAGAAGCAGGAGGGAAGGAACCACTGAGTGGGCCTGGAATATCAGCAGACAGGAGAGAAGGAGAAAAGGAAATAAAGTGAAATATTTGACTTTTGTCTCCCCTCAGAGTGGACGATGTCGTGAAGTCCATGTACCCTCCGCTGGACCCCAAGCTCCTGGATGCACGGTGAGAGGGGTGGGGGGCTGGCTCGGCATGTCCCGCTGAGGTTCACCTGTATCAGCTCTATGAGGTTGACCGGTTGGGTTGTTTAGAGAGGGCTGTTCTGCTGGGTTCCCAAGGCCGCACCCACGTTGGAGCACATTCACTTCTGTTCAAACGGTTAGCCAAGCGGAGTGGAGGCTGGCTCGTTGGTAGATATAGTCATCTTCCAGAAACCCCGAAGGAGAAAGAGCCAGTCTTGGGTTTGGAATTTTCGTGACTACACATCCGGCTGGGCTGTGTTCCACCCGGCCTTCCCTCCCGTCATCCCCTACTGATCCCTTTGATCTTTGGACCCCAGAAGCAGACACACCTAGCTGAGAGTGCTGCCCTGTGGGCTCCGGTTGAGCAGAGCTGGGGAGCAGAGGTCAGCTGCAGGGGTGCACACCTTCCACTGGGCACTCAGAAACCCTTCTTTCCTGACCTTTCCCTGTATATGCAGGGAACATAGCTTTATGAAATTCTATGCTCTTATACCAGATGTAGACTCCTTTAAAGAATTCTTTACTCTTGATTTATATTTCATGGATACTCGTGTGAGGTTGCTGGGCACACACGGCACCGTGATACTTCAGCTTTTCTCTGCCTCGTTCCTGCTGCAGCCTAGATTTGACCACAGATTAGTAATCTTCAGCACATTCCCAAATGCAGCAGGACACTCAATATATAAAAGGGGTGCTACAATGACTCTTTCAATGCTAAAAAAAAAAAAAAAGAAAAAAGAAAGAAAAAATGCTCACCATCTCTGGCAATCAGAGAAATGCAAATCAAAACCACCCTAAGATACCATCTCACTCCAGTCAGAAAGGCAGCCATTATGAAGTCAAACAACAATAAGTGCTGGCGAGGATGGGGGGGGGCGGGTAAGGTACACTCATACATTGCTGGTGGGACTGCAAATTGGTGCAGCCAATTTGGAAAGCAGTATGGAGATTCCTTGGAAAGCTGGGAATGGAACCACCATTTGACCCAGCTATTCTCCTTCTTGGATTATACCCAAAAGACCTAAGAAGAGCATACTACAGGGACACAGCCACATCAATGTTTACAGCAGCACAATTCACAATAGCTAGAATGTGGAACCAACCTAGATGCCCTTTAAGAGATGAATGGATTAAAAAATGTGGCATTTATACACAATGAAATATTACTCAGCACTAAAAAATTACAAGATCATGGCATTTGCAGGGAAATGGATGGCAAAGAAGGCCCAGTGTGAGAAGGTGGCTGTAGGCAGAGCGGGACAGCCGTTGCCAAGGAAGAAATGCTCATCCATGGGGAATACGGGTAGGCCACAGGAATGAAAGTTTCCTTTGCCGTCACATCAATAGGGGGACCTCTGAGGCTGCCACCACTTCTGGAACTGGCCTGTCCAGTCACCACTGAGGACCTGAACTGGGAGAAACAGAAAGCTCCGCAGCACATCCACTGCCTTCTGATGGGTGAGTCCCAGGCCATCTGGGACAGCTATACCATGCCCCCCAACCCCAGCCCATGTGTAGGCCCCTCTACCTGGGGAGGGGCCAAGCCTCTGGCATCAGTGGGCCTCAGCCAGACCTTGCCTTACCACCCCAGCACTGCCTCCCCGCCCAAAGTGGGTGGGCGCTGCTCTCTCCTCCCAGAGACACCCTCCTACCTCCAAACTTTGTGTCCCCCTCTTCCACAGCCTGCCAACTGTTCCTTGGCCCTTCCTCCCAGGCCCTCTCCCAGCACCTTGGCAGGCTTGGCTCTGCAGCCAGGGGCTCCCTTGGGGGCCACCCTCATGAACACCATTATGACTTCACAGTCCCCCTTCCCCCACATCTGGGGCCTCCATCTGACTCCACTAGGAACTTCCTACTCTCTCACCAGGGCCCAAAGCCCAACAGTACTCACAGGGCCTCAGCAGTAGACAGCTCCAGTCTGCCACCTTTTTTTTAATTTTTACTTATTTTTTTTAGTCATACATGACAGAATGTGTGTGGGTGCTGACATGGGCCCCCACGGTGGGATTTCTACGTCTGTCAGCACCAAGGGCTGAGTGGGTTGGGCTGCCCAGGCTGGGGGCCTGCTATCAATGGTGGGAATGGAGCTACCCCTGGACCTGGAGATCCCAGGTGTCCAAACTACTGACAGCTGGCAGAGGTGGGGGCTCTGGGCTTCTTCCTGTCAGAAACCCCAGGTGGGATGGTGGCTCCAGGGATGAGGGGCTTCTTCCCTCGGGGAGCGTGTTTAGGTACCTTTCAAGACGGCAGACTGAGGAATCAGACCAGAGACTCTGCGTCTAATACAAGATAAAGTTGGTCCTCATCTTCATCTCGTGGGGGCAGGCCCCAAATTCCTTCATAAGACTCCTATAGCACAAGAGTTAAAACCAAGAATCAACAAATGGGACGAATTCAAACTGAAAAAGTTTTTTCTCAGCAAGAGAAATAATATGCGAGGTGAATAGGGAGCCTACATCCTGGGAACCAATTTTTACCCCTCAAACATCAGATAGAGCTCTAATCTCTAGAGTGTACAAAGAACTCAAAAAGTTAAACAACAAAAAAGCAGATAACCCAATCAACAAATGGCCCAAGGACTTGGACAGAAACTTCTCAGAAGAGGACACACCATCAATTAACAAATACATGAAAAAATGCTCACCATCTCTAGCAATCAGAGAAATGCAAATCAAAACCACCCTAAGATACCATCTCACTCCAGTCAGAAAGGCAGCCATTATGAAGTCAAACAACAATAAGTGCTGGCGAGGATGGGGGGGGGCGGGTAAGGTACACTCATACATTGCTGGTGGGACTGCAAATTGGTGCAGCCAATTTGGAAAGCAGTATGGAGATTCCTTGGAAAGCTGGGAATGGAACCACCATTTGACCCAGCTATTCTCCTTCTTGGATTATACCCAAAAGACCTAAGAAGAGCATACTACAGGGACACAGCCACATCAATGTTTACAGCAGCACAATTCACAATAGCTAGAATGTGGAACCAACCTAGATGCCCTTTAAGAGATGAATGGATTAAAAAATGTGGCATTTATACACAATGAAATATTACTCAGCACTAAAAAATAACAAGATCATGGCATTTGCAGGGAAATGGATGGCAAAGAAGGCCCAGTGTGAGAAGGTGGCTGTAGGCAGAGCGGGACAGCCGTTGCCAAGGAAGAAATGCTCATCCATGGGGAATACGGGTAGGCCACAGGAATGAAAGTTTCCTTTGCCGTCACATCAATAGGGGGACCTCTGAGGCTGCCACCACTTCTGGAACTGGCCTGTCCAGTCACCACTGAGGACCTGAACTGGGAGAAACAGAAAGCTCCGCAGCACATCCACTGCCTTCTGATGGGTGAGTCCCAGGCCATCTGGGACAGCTATACCATGCCCCCCAACCCCAGCCCATGTGTGCGCCCCTCTACCTGGGGAGGGGCCAAGCCTCTGGCATCAGTGGGCCTCAGCCAGACCTTGCCTTACCACCCCAGCACTGCCTCCCCGCCCAAAGTGGGTAGGCGCTGCTCTCTCCTCCCAGAGACACCCTCCTACCTCCAAACTTTGTGTCCCCCTCTTCCACAGCCTGCCAACTGTTCCTTGGCCCTTCCTCCCAGGCCCTCTCCCAGCACCTTGGCAGGCTTGGCTCTGCAGCCAGGGGCTCCCTTGGGGGCCACCCTCATGAACACCATTATGACTTCACAGTCCCCCTTCCCCCACATCTGGGGCCTCCATCTGACTCCAGTAGGAACTTCCTACTCTCTCACCAGGGCCCAAAGCCCAACAGTACTCACAGGGCCTCAGCAGTAGACAGCTCCAGTCTGCCACCTCTTTTTTTAATTTCTACTTATTTTTTTTAGTCATACATGACAGAATGTGTGTGGGTGCTGACATGGGCCCCCACGGTGGGATTTCTACGTCTGTCAGCACCAAGGGCTGAGTGGGTTGGGCTGCCCAGGCTGGGGGCCTGCTATCAATGGTGGGAATGGAGCTACCCCTGGACCTGGAGATCCCAGGTGTCCAAACTACTGACAGCTGGCAGAGGTGGGGGCTCTGGGCTTCTTCCTGTCAGAAACCCCAGGTGGGATGGTGGCTCCAGGGATGAGGGGCTTCTTCCCTCGGGGAGCGTGTTTAGGTACCTTTCAAGACGGCAGACTGAGGAATCAGACCAGAGACTCTGCGTCTAATAGAAGATAAAGTTGGTCCTCATCTTCATCTCGTGGGGGCAGGCCCCAAATTCCTTCATAAGACTCCTATAGCACAAGAGTTAAAACCAAGAATCAACAAATGGGACGAATTCAAACGGAAAAAGTTTTTTCTCAGCAAGAGAAATAATATGCGAGGTGAATAGGGAGCCTACATCCTGGGAACCAATTTTTACCCCTCAAACATCAGATAGAGCTCTAATCTCTAGAGTGTACAAAGAACTCAAAAAGTTAAACAACAAAAAAGCAGATAACCCAATCAACAAATGGCCCAAGGACTTGGACAGAAACTTCTCAGAAGAGGACACACCATCAATTAACAAATACATGAAAAAATGCTCACCATCTCTAGCAATCAGAGAAATGCAAATCAAAACCACCCTAAGATACCATCTCACTCCAGTCAGAAAGGCAGCCATTATGAAGTCAAACAACAATAAGTGCTGGCGAGGATGGGGGGGGGGCGGGTAAGGTACACTCATACATTGCTGGTGGGACTGCAAATTGGTGCAGCCAATTTGGAAAGCAGTATGGAGATTCCTTGGAAAGCTGGGAATGGAACCACCATTTGACCCAGCTATTCTCCTTCTTGGATTATACCCAAAAGACCTAAGAAGAGCATACTACAGGGACACAGCCACATCAATGTTTACAGCAGCACAATTCACAATAGCTAGAATGTGGAACCAACCTAGATGCCCTTTAAGAGATGAATGGATTAAAAAATGTGGCATTTATACACAATGAAATATTACTCAGCACTAAAAAATAACAAGATCATGGCATTTGCAGGGAAATGGATGGCAAAGAAGGCCCAGTGTGAGAAGGTGGCTGTAGGCAGAGCGGGACAGCCGTTGCCAAGGAAGAAATGCTCATCCATGGGGAATACGGGTAGGCCACAGGAATGAAAGTTTCCTTTGCCGTCACATCAATAGGGGGACCTCTGAGGCTGCCACCACTTCTGGAACTGGCCTGTCCAGTCACCACTGAGGACCTGAACTGGGAGAAACAGAAAGCTCCGCAGCACATCCACTGCCTTCTGATGGGTGAGTCCCAGGCCATCTGGGACAGCTATACCATGCCCCCCAACCCCAGCCCATGTGTAGGCCCCTCTACCTGGGGCCTCTTGTGAGATAATTAGATGTCCTCAAAGTTCAAGTCTGTCAAACAATCTCTATTACTTGCAGCTGAAATCATTCCTAATTGGTTTTAGTGAGGAATGCAGAGATGAAGAGACAAATACAACATAATCCTTGTATTCAAGGACATTATTGTTTAGCAGGGATGGGGAATAGGTAAACAATAAAGCATATGAAATAAGTACTAAGGAATTCCACTTTGGGAGTGGCACACACAGCTGACATCATCAGATTGTACATATGCATTCTCAAAGAGAGTCTGTAGTAGGACACCTGCCCACATACAGATGGTACCTGGAGAGCTGAGTAAAGCAGGGAAGGGCAGGACAGAAGCCTCACCTGTTGGGTCACAGTGCCTCGGAGATCCTGCAGCACATCCAGTATCTGAAAGATGTCAAATGCATGCACCACCTGGATCCTCTGGAGAGCTCTTGCCTGTAGGGGTGGGAGAAAAATGTAGAGGCTTGGGATAAGATGGATCAGGGGGCTGAGGAAGGTGATGAAGAGGAATTATAAGGCTAAGAAGGGGAAGAGGCACTCAGACACAAACACTCAGGTCCAGAATGGCAACCTGGTTTTGTCCAAGGGGCTAGATCTGCCTGGGTATTGAACTGTAACATATTTGCAACTTGGTGGGAAAGAGATACAACTGATTGATGATATCTGCCATGGGCAAGAAATGGGCTGGAAACAGATGTTGGGTGATTGCCAGCTCTGATTAGAATATGCAAGGAGTTGGGAGGGATTCCTGGAAGAACTGTCCCAGAGGCATGCAAGCTGGGAAAATGACACTACCAGGGCAGGCTTAAGGGACACAGGAAGTTATCAACAGAACCTCAAATTTCAAAGCAAGAAATGACTGTTCATTGAAACAGCCCACATTTTTGCAGTGTAAGGGACATTAGGGTCTTCTAGTCAAGAGTCTAGTTCTAGTTCCTGTGAGCAGGAACCCAACTGTCCTGCCCCTTACCTGTTCCTCTTCATCCTGGGTCCTAGGTTGAAGTAGCTGGAGGAGGCGGGAAGCTGTCAGCCCTCCATTAGAATCAATGTATAGGACGTTCTGCTGCAGGCCATGGGCCACATTTGCAGCCACACAAAGACATACCTTAAGAGAGAATGGGCCATCAGGTGAACCTGAGCCCTCAGAGAGGGAAGGTCTAGAAACAAAGCTCATTTTGTCCAGATTTCAGAGGCAAAACCACCTAAGTCCAAGCCCACCTCTCATCACCCATCTTGCCTCTTTTGACTCCTGAACCCATGAAGACACTGGTGGAAGCTCCCCACAGATCCAGGACTAGGCACCCACCTCTACCAGTCTTCCTGGCTGGTGCCTCATACACACCTGGGTTTTGCCACTACCTGGGCCTCCTACAATTTCAGTCACTTCTCCTGTATACAGACCAGCATCAAGCAGTTTGTCCAAGCTGATGGTAGAAGAGAAATCAATCATGAGGTTGGGGGTAAAAAAGAAAGACCTTCCTTCCAGGCACTGGTACTGTTCAGAGATGTCCCAGTCATCTCTGGCCAGGAGCTCCTCTCTCTAGCAGAGCAAAAGCTTTTAATTTTTATTAGGTCCAATTTATTATTTTTTTTGACAGTGCTGTGTGAAATTTTTTAATGGATCATACTTCTAGTGTCAAGTCTAAGGCTTTTGCCTAGCCTCAGATCCCCAAGATTTTTCTAAAAGCTAAATAAATTTATGTTTTACATTTAAGTTCATAATCCATCTTTAGTCTTTTTTCCCCCCTTTTTTTCTTTTTTGGTACCAGAGACTGAACCCAAGGATGCTTAACCAAGGAGCCACATCCACAGCCCTTTTTATTTAGATGGGGTCTTGCTCCGTTGCTTAGAGCCTCACTAAGTTGCTGAGGCTGGCTTTGAACTCATAAGCCTCCTGCCTCAGCCTCCCCAGTCACTGGGATTACAGGTGTCTGCCACCATGCCTGGCTCATTTGTAGTCAATTTTTATATCAAGTGTGAAATTTAGATTTTTTATGTCCAATAGCTCTAGTATCAGTTGTTTAAAAGGCTATCTTTCCTTCTTGCTTCTGTATCTTTGTCAAAAACAATTAAAAAAAATTTTTTTTAAGTTGGCGATGGATCTCCATTTCTCCATTTCGTTTACTTATATGTGGTTCTGAGAATCGAACCCAGTGCCCCACACATGCCAGGCAAGTGCTCTACCTGAGTCACAACCCCAACTCGAGTCATTCATTTTTTATCTCTTTCATCAGCAATTTTTAATTTCTCACAGGCAAATCCTACACAATCTTTAGACTCATACCTAAGTATTTCATTTTCTTTGGTGCAACTCTAAATGGTATTGTTTTTAATTTCAGTTTCCACATGTTCATTGAGAATATAAAGAAACGCAATTGACTTTTATGTGATGTTATACTCCGCAACCTTGCTGAACTCGATTATTTGTTCTAGGAGTTTGTAATTATCTGCTTGTTTGTCTGTCTCCCTCATCTGATAAGAGCACCCTGGGGCAATGACCAGGCCTTGTGCCTGCTACATCACCAACATTAGCACATGCCCCAGACCTGAGAGGCACACAATAAAGGTTACTAGAGAAATTATAGTAGAACAAGGCTGTTGTTTTATTTAGTTCCTGTATAGTCAACACTCAGGCTCTGCAAGCCTTGGGATACACTTTAAGAAGCAGACAATTCCTAAGCCAGGTTCTGTCCTTGTACCACCATAAAACAGATCACCCTCCTTGCCCTGCCTGGTATGGGGCTGAAGCTTCATCTGAGCCACAGCCTGTACCACATGCATCCCTTTTCTGATGCTGCAATCATCTTCACAGACTCCAGGCCTCTGAAAATGGTTCTTAAAGACCTCCCATGACCTACCTGTGACCTGCAACCTGCAACGTGTCAGGCAGCACTCTAGTAATTGTCCCTTCTATTTCAAACCCAGGGACCACAGGTTTCTGCCAGTCAAAATCCTTCTGGTTAACACTCCAGCCTTATGGCTTCTTGGGATAACTGTGCTCACACCGTCTCTGTTTAACAAGCACCTGTTTAATACACATCCAAGCTCCACCACTCCTGGATCCCATCCCTCCCACTAAGATCTGGGAAGCTCCAGTTTCATTCCAGTGTGGTCACCAGATCAGCAGTATCTGCCACACTCCAGAATGGATAGAAATGCAAGATCCCGTTTCCCCTATCTTGACCTACTGATCAAATATTCTGGCAGTGGACCAACATCTAGGTTTCAATAAGAACTCCAGGTGATTTTGATGCATTTTACTAGTTATTCTCAATCCTTCCCATTATAGGGAATGGTTTTATTTTTGTTTGAGATGGGGTCTTGCCATGTTGCTTACGGGTCTCAAAGTTGGGGGCTCAAGCAATCTTACTACCTAAGCCTCTGGGGTAGCTGGGACTACAGGGGCATACCACCACACTTATCTTCCAGGGAAGTGTTATGGTGTGGGTTTTTTTGTTTTTTCCTTTTTTTTTTTTTTTTTTTGGTGGTGCTGGGAATTGAACCCAGGGCCATGCACATGTTAGGCAAGCACTCTACCAACTTAGCTATATCCCCAGCCCGGGTTTTTTTTTTTTTCCCCCCCCATTATTGGTTGTTTGTTTTCTTTTTTTTTGGTGGGGGCGGGTAATAGGGGATTAAATATGGGCACTTAACCACTGAGCTACACGCCCAGCCCTTTTTTGTTTTTTGACATGCCAGGCAGCAGTCTTGTAATTGTCCCACTTTAGCAAGACATTTGCTAAAGTTGCTTTAGGGCTATGCTAAATTTCTGAGGCTGGCCTCAAACTTATCATCCTCCTTCCTCAGCCTTCCAAATCACTGGGACTACAGATGTGCCACCACACCTGGTTCCAGGGAAGTTTTTAAAAAGATGCCTTTATCAGCAGTTCCTCAAACTTATCTGCCCACTAGAGTCAGATGGGAGTTTCAAAAACAAAAATAAAAACACTGATGCCTGTGTCCCACCCCTAGGGAATGCTACTGGTCTGGGAGGAGGCTTGTGCTTTGGGATGTTGAGAAGTTCCCCAGGGGATTCTAATGCACAGACAAGTTTAGGAATCACTGGCTTAGATCAATTAAGTTAGAATTTGTAGAAGTGAGACCCAAGCATGAGTTTCTTTTTGAGTCACCCAGGCAATTCTAATGTGTAGCCAGGATTCAATCAGTGGGCTTAACTCTAGTCAAGAACCAACCACATCCTTGGTTGCCTTGTTCAGCCTACATGAGCTGTTCCCCAATCCATCTGTGTTCCTTTCCATGTTTCCTCTAATTATGTAGAGGACCTTCCTACCAATATACCCCATATCACCTCTAGCAGCACAGCAGCATGAAAAGGAACCCCTGGCCACCACTGCCTAGAATGCCAGTGATTGCTGGGGTTTATCCTCTATCTTTTCCTCTGAACTACCTTTCAATCACTCTTTCAATTATTCATTCAAACATCACCTGAATCCCTCATATTTCCTGAAGGCCTTATTATAAAATGAGAGGGTACAGAGATGAACAGACAAAGCTCTTGCTTGAATGGAACCACCTTCTCTCTGATGAATCTAGTTTTTCCAAGGTACATTACCTTCTCTATTACTCTGCCAAGATTCACACTGCCCACAGCACAAAGGCTCTGAGAACACATACAACAAAGAAACCTGCTTAACTGGAGTCAATCAGGCATTTCTCAAACTTCTGACATAGGAATTCCCTCCCTGCAGCCAAGTTTTAAAGTTATATCCATTAACTGCCCATGGTGCACTGGGAGGAGGTCATCTTTGATTCTTCATACCTCTATCCTACCTGCTAATATGACTTGTCATATTTCTTCTTCAGTATATTGCCAAATCTCACCAGTCCTGGATCAGACTCACACACCCCGCATCGGCACCACCAGACCCCCCGCCCCCTTGGTCTTTCTCAGTTCATCTACTCTGCACAGCTCCACCCCACTGCCTGGAACTCTACTTTTACAATGGCCTCCCACCTTCAAGGAGGCGACACAGTAGATCAGTTAGGCTGTTAGACAGGACCTCAAGTGCCCAGTCTGCTGAAGTAAGATCTTCAGCACATCATTTAACCTGAGTCACAATGTATTCACCAAGAAAATGATTTTTTTTTTTTTTTTTTGGTACTGGGGATTAAACCCAGGGGCTCTTTACCAGAGCTACACCCCTTTTTATTTTGAAACAGGATCTCCCTAAGTTGCCAGGCTGACTTTGAGCTTGCAATTTTCCTGCCTCAGCCTCCCAAGTAGCTGGGATTACTGATGTGCATCACTGAGCCCGGCTAAAATGATGATTTTAAAGGCAATGCACTCACTCAATAGTGGTTGTGAAGAACAAATGACATAATGTATCAGGAATTGCTAAGCACTCAGGGAAAGTCCATCTATTCCTCAAGGCCAAGACCCTGCTTCTCCAGGGTCTTCCTGCACTCTGATCTGCACCTGCCAGTAACCTATCAGCTTGCCATTCTACTGCTCCCTCTGTGTATGTTGGTTTAAAAGCTTCTGAAGCCCAGAGGCCAATCTGCTTCCTGTTAATCACTCCCTCCTTGGGGCTGCTTCCCTGTGTGCATCCACATGTCTTCTATTCATGTTTTCCTCCTATACACACTATGTGCCATACTCCTAAGAGCAGGAGCCTTGCCTCACTCGCATATGTATTCTCTGCATGTGTCTGGCACCCACTAGTTTGGATTACAAACTCATACCCCAAACCAGTGAGAGCAAGCACCATGCTGTATGAACCTTGCCAACAGAATGTGTTATGGAAACAGTAAGGGCCAGCCAGAGAAATCCAAAGGCCTTTGTGGTGGCAGAGCTATTCATCAAGCTCTGCACAAACAGGCCAGAAGAGAGATCAGACTTACTTGGCCAGAAAGCGCCTGTTGTCTTCCAAGTCTTTCCTAACCTAAAAGACATGGCACAATGTAACTGCTCCTTCTGATGAGCTCCCCTGTTCTCTATGACTGCAGAGTGTGGCAAAGGCACCAGGTTCTGGGTCAGATATCCCTGGACTTGAGCCTTATCTCTGCTACTTGCTCTTCTTAGGCTAATGCAAGGGGAACTAACAATCTCTAACTTGCAGTTGCACTGGAGAGATATCTTATAGGCAGCGACTACATGCACAAGCTCTAGGTAAATGTTAATCCTGCTCTGTTCTCTCTTACTCTACCTTTAAGTGACATGGAAGGTAGGGCAGATTCTAATCTGCTGAATAATAATGAGAGGCTAGGGACATCCTACCCGCCCTCCTTCACTAGCAATTGAAATAAGGGGCACTCCATCTCTGAGCTAAACCCTCAGACCTTTTTATTTTTTATTTTGAGACAGGGTCTGGCTAAGTTGCCCAGCTGGCCTTGAATTTGTGAATCTTCCACCTCTGCCTCCCAAGTAGCTGGGATTATAAACCTGGGCCACTGTGCCCAGCTAATACTGCAGACATCTTGTATTGTTTGACAGCAGTTCTTAGCAGGGGCAATTTTCCACACAACGGACATTTAGCCATGTCTGGAGACATTTTTGATTGTCACAACTGCGGGGAGGGAAGGTACTACTGGCATCTGGTGGGTAGAGGTCAGGCATACTGCTAGACCTATTCCAATGCACAGCACAGCCCCCACCCCAATAAATAATTACATGTCCTAGAGTGTCAATAGTGTTAAGGCTGAGAAACCCTATAACCTTGTTCTAAGATAAAAGAACTCAGAAGTCCCAATGCCTCTCCTTCACATCTGTCTATACTGCTCCCACTCCAGCCTTCAAAAACCCTGCTCTCTCTTGATCCAAGCACTGAACGTTCTTCTGTCTCTCGCTTTGTTATCCAAATACATGTACAAACCTTCCAATGCCGGTGGACAGGATGGCAGTGGAGGTCTTCATTTCCTCATAGAGATCCGCGCCATTGGAGGGGAAAGCTGAGAACTGAGCCAGCAACACCCGCCTCAGGGCAACCAGGGCCTGCCAAAGGGGCGGGCACTCAGACCACACAGTACCGAGCCACCCAAGGGGCTTCCCAGGTCCTCACTGGAACTCACTGCTCCCGAGGCTTAAGGGGCGTGGAGATCTCGAGCTCACCTTATAAGACAAGCCACACTTCTGAG